GTCTATTCGTCAACCTTGTTTTATGATCAACTTTGGGGGTGTTCATCATTGTTTTCTGGTAATATTGAGTTGTCTGAACTGAATGGTTTCATCAAGGTATTTCCTGTCTTTCTATACAACATTATCAACGCTTACTTTAAGTTGAGATGAGATTTCGTATTATTTCATACGCATTATGTCAATCCATTTGGATGACTAGTTTTCTTAACAGATTTTAGTAACTTCAGGTACACTTGGAAACTTTTGTTCAATCAATCTCTAACATCATAACTTTTAAGCATGAATTGGTAAATTGAATCTATGTCAATGTGTTTTTCTATCAGAGACTTTTCTCAATGACATCTGTCTAGAAGTACCTTGGGATTCTTGCAATTTCTTCGATCCAGAATTCTGAAACCTTTTCGATGGAATTTGTGGCTTTAATTGTGTCTGATAAGGTACATTGTCTCTTCATTACTGTTCTGTGTTTGTATATAAGTAGATGAATAGAGAAAATATATTATTCAATATAGTGCTTCTAGATGTTGTTACTTTATTGTTATATATTTATATTAATGTCAAACATAAATAAATCCACGAAATTGAGCCACCGTCCACCGTTGTCTTTAGTGAGTTACTATCTCAAAACAGACCTGGTTAAACTCCAGTGATCAAGCGTGAGACCGAGATCGTGGACGCTCAATGTTGAGGAGTTCCATATTAGGATGAAACAACCGTCCAGTGCTTCCAGTTTTTTCATGGTTGTCAAGCTTTAATTAACTTATGAATTTAACTATTAAATTAATATGATACTCAAAAAATCCCCTTCCTAATAATGTTGTTATGTTTTGAAGGAAATAGTGCGAATATCTATAACTTATCAAATATGAAGCTTAATAATATAGAAACAGAAGCGTCATCACTGGGACTCTAATTTCATATACCGAAAACAAATACTAACATGATTGATACAGAAGCTTAATTCGAAAATCTGTTCGACCAGTTAAAAGATTTGCAACAAATAAACGAGGAAAAGAACGGATGGTCCGAATCAAAGTTAGTTGATATTGCTTACCGATACTTCGTATCATCGACATCAAAGTCGATTATTCCATCCAAAGAACATCTGACAGCCCTAAGAAACATCAAACAAAATAATGAGGTTCAGGTGTCGTCCTAATGAATACAGCTGATTATGTCACTAGGATGAAGTCAATTCTAAACGATCAACTGAGGTTCAAGGTAGATAAATCCAAAACAGATTTAACTGATTCAACAGTAAAACGAATCACAGGCATGCTTCGAGAACTTCTAAAAAGTAAATTATTGCTTATTCTACGTAAAATGATCTAAAACCACATGTATCACGTATATCTCATATGCATGGTTTATCAAAAGTTCACAAACACGACGTTCTTCTTAAACCTTTCCTATCAATGATCAATTCACCGTATCACAAAGGTGCATTCTGGCCAGTAGAAAAACTAGAACTGGTCCGTCGGAGATTAGCAACATATACGTTAAAAGATTCAATCCAGTTTGCTGATAGACTGAATCGTACGAATGTTGCCAATAAGTTCATGGTTTCTTTTGATGTAACATCCTTGTTCACCACTATACCACTATTGGCAAAAACTATTGATATAATTTGTCAGAATTATGATCTCCTACCTTTACCAGCCCCAGAATTCAAAAAATCTACTATTAATGTGCACAACAGACATTCATTTCCAGTTTAATAACACCATATATCGTCAAATCGATGACGTAGCAATGGAAAGTCCACTTGGTTCAATTATGGCAGATATTTTTTATGGGTTATCTTGAAATTACGGTGCTTAAACAGGAGATTAGCGAAATGACGGAATACTCCAGATATTTTGATGACACGTTTATCGTCTGTAACAAAAAACAGCATACAATCCGCTTGTTAAAACTCTTTAATAATGCTCATCTTAACAAACAACTTACTATAGAACACGAACAGAATGACATGTTCCACTTTCTTCATGTTGCCATGAAATGTAGTAGAGATGGGATTGTTCAACGTTTGGTTTATCGAAAAACTACTTAGAATGGCCTTTACCTGAATTTCAACAATTTTTGTCCAATCAGTTACAAGAAGGCATTAGTTGAAACACTACTTTACAGGGCAGAAAGGATACGTACCACTAACAAACTGGAAGGAGAATTGATGAACGTGGAAAAATACCTACGAGACAACTTTTACTCACAAAAGTTTGTTGAAAAATATAAAAAGCTTAAAGAAGAAAAGACGGAAGTTATTATGGTCAATAAAAAACCACTATCTACAAACCTTAACCTCAAAGGTGATCATGTTACAAACACAATCAACAGGAGACTGAATACTGCTCTAGCCAGAACTTATCCGGCGGCCAAACTTCAAATTCTGTATAAAACAACATGTTGAATAACTCAGTCAAAGATTGATAAGCACCTCTTTCATATTATTGCCAATTATACTTAGAAATAGTGCGAAGTTATAATGTTGATCGATAAGCATGGATGATTCATAAATGATTTCATAATCTTTTCAATTATTTCTAGGATGTTTCACAAACTGAGTAAGAAAATTCAGGTTGACTTCTCTATTCTACATCAATTTTAAAGACGCTTGTTCTAGGCAAAAGCTGTTGAAGTGAAGAGTTAGAGATGGATGATAGATTGTATCGGGTTTCAACTTCTATAAATAATGTCTACACACCATTACTTCTGCATTTTTCTCTAATTATTACTACAACCTATTAATTGATCTGATAAGGTTTATTTCTTCAGTACATACGTTTGTAACATTGCAGTTCTTGTTCTAATTATATATGATAGATAATTCCACCTAATTGAATTGATCTTTGACGATTTTATTGATAATTATGATGAAAAATTCACAATTCAATTATACTACTGAAAAAATAAAACATTCAAATCATTATCAGTTTAGGGGTTGTGGAGATTGTTAAGTTTTTGATTAAGATCATGAAGCGATTGATGTTAGACCACCATAACCCTTTACTGATAGTTACCATGTGCTCACTAGTGACTAGATTTGTGAGAAAATTCTCGGAGTTCTGGTGAGAAGCCGTGACCAGTGGAGCTAATCTGTGTCGGGTAGAAACAAGTGTCTACCTCAGTACAATGGAAGATGGTCGCGCAACTTCGTGGATTGGTTGAGGTTAGACATTAACACTATTGGATGCCGGCTCAGTGGTCCAGTGGGTTGAGCGTTCCCGCGCGAGGCTGGAGGCCCTGGGTTCGAACCCCGCGGGTGAGGTCGTGGATGTGCACTGCTGAGGAGTCCCACAATAGGGTGAAATGGCCGTCCAGTGTTTGCAGGTTTTCAATGGTAGTCTAACATCAATCGGTTCATGATCTCAATCATAAATTCAAATCACTCATTTGTACAAATAAATGTGTTTTTGTTATTTCAAATTATATTACTAACAATAAAATAAAGTAATACATTTCATTGCGAAAAAGAAGTTTTTGAAGGTATCTATGTAATGTTTATTATGGATTGAAGCAATAATGAAAATTCAGTAACATTATGCAACTATGGTGAGACTATAATTTATGGATGACCTTTGAGCGACGCTAAAGTAACCTTGAGAATATCTACCTAAATAAGGGTTATAAACCTGTGTGAAGATTTAAATTAGGATTTTCAGTTGATCGTTAAGGTTATGAATTGGATTTAGGGTTTTTCATCACGAACTAACATCAGTTATAATGCCAAAACTCTATTTAGCCAAATAGATGAGTAAATTTCAAGCGAAAATCCGAGACATGTTATTTTATAGCTGATTGATTCGCCCATAAATGATTGTCTCACTGTAACTGTTTTATCATAGTACAAATACTCCTAAAAAATGAATGCCAACATGAACTTTCAGAAATGAATTCATAACCATTAGATCTCATATTGAGCATTTGAACTTCTTAGAACTTTGATTTGATACAAAATCTTCTAGATTTCCTACTTCAGTTAATGAATGTCATCAGTAATGACCATTCGATCTATATCAAATAAAATAAACATAAAAGATAGAATACAATTCAGCAGTATTATAGGTTCTATGTTGTATGTTTTCTTATATTGAAGTTAGATATTAACACTGATGGATTTATTTACATTTATTTATTTTAACACATAGATATTGGTACAAGGAGGCACCAAATACATATGCACCACACAAATCTCATCCGATTTGTGTTAGGGCTGTGATACTGAACGTGTGCCCAAACTGAAGTAGATGGTTTTCTTAGGGGGCCACACCCAAAACCTTTGACATAAATGTCTGATCCACAAGACAGTGGAGCAACGTCAGGAGATGAAATTCCATGGGAGCCGGTGATCAATAATTGGTTCATATGCTATTTGTTGCATCAGGATCTTGAACTCCGTGTACACTTTTGGTTTTGAATCAGGGTTTTCCAACTCCTCTATTTGGATTCTCCATATCCACCAACTTGGTTAAAGCTCCGGACGTTCACTTTTCATCCTCTCAAGTTCGTAGACAACAGTAATTCCTCGAGAAATCAGTGAGTAGAACTTCCCTGGCAGTGGTTGTACGCAGTTGGCCATGTAAAATCATTTGGAGAGAAAGAGAGAGGTCTGACTCTCTCCACTCTGTGCCGTGCCAGAGAATTAGAGGGGTGGGGGCTCAGTAATCTAGAAGTTAAACTTTCAACCACGAGACTAATAAGTCCTGGGTTCAAATCCCTTAAAGTAGGATCGTGGATGCACATTGTTAAAGAGAAGTTTCATACTAGAACGAAACAACTATCCAGTACTTTCAAACTCTTCACAAAAACTTCATTTCTATAAATAAATAAATAAGTAGAATAACATTTATACAATTTACAATAGATCCATCTATATTGAAGTAATCAAGAAGAAGAGAAAAAAAGAAGAAACGTCACATCCGGTATTTAACCATTTTAAAACAATTAAAACTAACATAATTACTCTTCGTAATTATTCAATCATTATTATGATTATGATTATTCTACTTCCAGAATATGTAACCTCCTACTGAATGGATAAAACAATGTGAATCATTTCCTGATTATAATTTTGAAGATCAACTAAGTTCCGATAATTAACTATAGTTGGACAATGAACAAGAAATGTGTAAATGTATTTAAACAACAATAATATTTGTTTATTATTCATACTACTACTACTACTACTACTGATAACAATAATAATAATAGTAGTAGTAGTAGTAATGGTAATAATCATAATAAATATTGTCTGATTATGATGAGTATAAAAGGATTCAATAAATGATATAAACAAATATTTATATTTAGAATTTTCATTATTATTTATAACAACTACTTAATATGAAATACTACTGTTTACAGAATATTTCCTTAATGGTAATCACTATGGTGTTGTTATTGATGACAATGATGATCAATGTTAATTATTCATGTGAGTTAACAAGTTTTATCATCATGTATGCATGTATGTATGTAGAGATGTTAAGAAACAATGAGCTTTTCTTAGTATAAAGTTGTGATCGAGATCATGAATTGATTGATGTTAGATCACTGTTGAAAATCTGGAAGAAGTGAACAGCTATTTCGTCCTCTTGTGAAACTCTTCCTTAGTAGTGTACATTCATGATCCTGTTACACGAGCCTACAGCGTTGCATGTGAATGTTTGACCTCTAGATCACTGAGTTGGCATCCAACGATGTTAATGTTTGACTTCAACCAATCCACGAAATTGTACAACCATCTTCCATTAGTTTTTCAATATACTTACTGGTCATATTTACAAATTTCTTCTAGATGATGATAGTTTATTATGAAAATTATATAAACACCTTCATGAAATAGACCAATGATATAATTGAAATGTATATATTTTATGATCAAAGATGGATCGTGGGTAGCAATGGAATCTAGGATGCGTGTTTCGTTCTATTTAAGACTTGTCAACTGGATATAATTGCATTACATAGTTGATGATTACTCCCGGACTCTAGGATGTAGGTACATCCAGATGATGAGTCCAAAATAAGACGAAACAGCAGTCCCATATTTCACTCTTAGACACCATCCATCTTTGTTTATAAAGCTTGTAACTAAAGGCAATATCGAGGTAATTCGCATAGCATGCAAATATGTCAATAAGAGACTGACCGATTGTAGTCCGAAGACAACAACGGGCAGACACAAACAAACAATACCATATGAATTGAAATATATACTGTTTAAATTGTCGGTCAAACGTTCTACTGAATAATCTACAAATAATCATATCAATAAACAAACCTCAATTAATACTGAGATATTGAAATACCTACTAATAGTCATTAGATTTGAGATGTGTCTCCTTTTAAAAGAATATTTTGCACAATCTATAATTTATAGGCTTAATAAACTTACTTACCTAAGCCTGTTACTTCTTGTGGAGGAGTGTAGACCGTCCACCGGCACTCTTTATCCAATCCTGTCCTGTACAATCCTTTACAGTTATTTCCAGTTGTTATTCATCTTCGTTGTGTTTGCTTCCAATTATCGACTCACCGTGTTCTTTGGCTATCATATTTTCTGTTTCTCTTCAGGATCTCAAATTAGGGCTTGCCTCGTGCTGCAGTTTGGTGATTTCCGTAATGTATGTCCTGTCCATTTCCATCGTCTTTTCCCAATTTCCTCTTCATCTGTAAGCTGGTTTGTTCCCTCCCACAATAGGCTATTACTAATGGTATCCGGCCAATGGATGTTAAGTATCTTGCGTAGATAACTATTTATAAATACCTACACCTTCTGAGTGATGATTGTAGTTGTTCTTCGAGTTTCAGCTCCGTACAGTAGAACTGACTCTTTTGACGTTCGTATTGAAGATCGTGACTTTCATATTGGCTTGCAGATACTTGTTTTGAGTTCTTTATATTCTTCAATTTTAACCTTGATAAAAGTTTGAGAATTTTAATAAACAGTTCAAATTTACAAGAGAATTGTTCAATACTTTATCCTTCATGAAGTCATTATTCATCAAATAGAAACATTTAGTACTATTGATAACAAAGATATTATATGGTACCGTGAATTAGTCGATGTCATTCAGGACTTCAAAGGCTTAAAAGGTAGTATTGCTGACTGTAAAAAATAATGTCGGTTTCGTTTAATATTCTGGATAAGGGTTAACAATCATTAGTCCTAAACTTAGTTCACAGCCTCGATTCATGTAAAAGCTCTCCTCACTGATATTAAAACCGGTGTTTGTTCTTTTCTATGACATTGCTTTACGCACTATGATACCTAGTATAATTATACGTGCCTTGAAATCTTCAAGTCAAATGAATCACATATTCTATACATTCCAGGTAATGTTAAGTTTCCAACTAATATTGATTTGCTCATATGAAACTAGTCAGTTATATGGAGACTATTAAATTATAAATTAGGTAGAGAATCCATCCATTTGATGTAAACTGTAAGGTTCGAGAGTGTTGCCGATAAATAAGGGTAATTGGGAATCTACGATCCCGTCTTGCGAGGTTCGAATCCAGAACCTATCAATCTCGTGTGCGAGCACTTGACCATTAGACCATTGAGCCGAATCTCGCAAGGCAGCATCGTGGATGAGCACTGCTAAGAAGGAGTCCTACACTAGGACGAAATGGTCATCCAGTGCTTCCAGATTTTCCATCGTGGTCTATCTTCAATTGACTCATGTATTTAACTATTAAATTATTATAATATCCATAAAACCCCTCTCTGACTATAAGGGGTAGCTTTGCTGCTACATAAACTTATAGATCTCTATCATATTATTGATAGGATTTAAATATCTTCATGTTACTTAAATACTCATGTCATTGAATAGTACAGTTTATTATTCTGTTAAATGTCTACCGTCACATCATGATATTTCAATAGGATCTGTGATAGGAGTTTAAGAGTGTAAAGATAGGACGTATGGGTTAGAGCATCCTTGGGTGTATTAACTAATTCCTGGCAAATACTAACTTGCACAAAACCTAAATAAGGAGGTTCATGGAAGTCAGCTTAACACTGTTCATTTTTTCTTACTTGATTAAATGTAAAACAGATACAATTGAAGAAGACCAGTATGGAGATTCAGATGGTGAGATAGATGGTGATTATGAATATGAGGATGGAGATGAAACGGATGTTGGGAATGAAGATGGCTATGAAAATGAAGGAGTACTGAATGATCCACATTTCTATAGGAAAGGACATTATAAGAAATGAGGTAGGTTTCAGTATGATGTTTATTCGTGATAAAAACCCTGAATCTTATTCTTAACCCTAACTATCAACTATAAATATTAATCTAAATTCCTCACAATGGGTTATTATCCTCATTTAGCCGCACTGCATAGGTTGACGTTCTCAAGGTCTTTTTAACGTCTCTCAAAGGTCATCCATAAAATTATACTCTCAACGTTCTATTCTGTATTCCATAAAAGTGAAGTTAAATCAAGTCATGAGTAATATAATAACTACCAGTAGAGTTGGATGGTATAGGTTTATGTGATATTTGGTACTATAGAGGGTAAAAGTTCAGCTTATTGAACTAAAAATAACTCACCAACTACGTCCATGATTCAATGTCTGTCAGTATCATGTGGGAATGTTTCAGAGGAATCAGAAACTAGAAAGATATAATCATACATTTCTTAGTTATTTTCACAATACTTTACTTGATATCAATCCGCAAAAACAAAACAACACAATATACATTCAGAATTCATGCTATATATTGGGGTAATATCTAGTAATAAACATAAATGTATAATTACGTTATCAATTAGATCGCAACCTTCGGTGCTACCTTGACGTGGTGATTGAGCTTGCCTATCGAAGTGAACCAATCGAGCTATACTGGCTGAAACAATCATTCCTCAAGGTTCTACCGCGCCAGACAGGTCTGTTGAAAAGCGGCAAGACTAAAAGCTGCAAACGCAAGGCCAGAAGGCGAAATCGTACTGCTCACCGCACAGTGGTTTGACGACAGTACGGTGTTTTATTCAGACAACCAGCATAACAGCGATTCTGTCTTGCTACTAGGGGTGGGGTGTGGTTGGGTTAGAAAGGGTCGACCCTGAAATTACACACCTCACCATATCCCAAGGATATCCGTCTCCGACGGTAAGGTCTCAATAAGTACGGAGCGAACACACAAATTACCCAAAAAGGGTTGTGTGCGATTGACCTCAATCAGTTGTCCTTTGGGAACAGAGGTCAAGCCTTCAGGTCAATAAGACCACCTCAATTTCCTTTTCAGGTACCTTCAGAAGAACCCTCCCACCGTATGGGCAACCGGGAAGGGATAACTACTCTCATACGTCTAACAGCACTTAAGATCACTGACTGACTGAGATCAATGCATATGACCTAGAGAAAAGGACAAACTGAATCTATTTAGCATTTCTACCGTATGTTATAATTAGGTTGTAGGTGTATTTTATAATAATACAACTGTTATCATTTATTTTAAAGAAAATTGACTATCAAAAGGGGTTTTTTGTGGATATTATAGTAATTTCAATAGTTGAGATCATGAATCAATTGAAGCTAGACCACCATGAAAAACCTGGAAGTACTGAACGGCTGTTTCATCCTATTGTTGGACTCCTCCATAGAAGTGCGCATCTACGATTACGCCTCACAAGATTTGAACCATTCAGTACTTCCATGTTTCGCATGATGGTTCAGCTTCAATTGACTCATGATTTTAACCATTGTGAATTGAATGATATTGTTTGATTTAAATCTTTATTTGGTTGTATACTTTTATAGGTTTTTATATATTTGGGCAAGACTGATTACCGACTAGTCAGGATTGTATCTTTTAAAATGTAACAACTAATAGTTTGAAATGATAAAATAGTACAATAAATGAATTTGCATTGTTCTTTGTTTTATTGATTTATTATCTCCATAGATCATATACAAACAACTAAAGAATCAGTAGAGATTTTTATGTATATTTAAGTCGGAAGTACAGTGTTATTGTGTGTAAAGATTGTGAGTAAGACCACTATCAATCACTGGCTGCTTAGACTGAAGTAGATGGAGTGGGGTGGAGATTTTGAACTTATTACAACATAGTGTCTATAAGCAAAGTAATTTATCCACTAGACCACTTGTTGTGACTTTAAGTTCGACTAGTTATCATGTAACTAATTCACCAATCGAAATACGATTGGTTCACACTTGTACTGTACTAAAGCAATGACATTCGACCAGTATGAGCAGCTTAGCGTCCTTATTAGTTATTTGTTCTTCTGTGGTGTGTACTACTTATATTGATATAAGTAGTATATGATGTTAGTCGTGAACAGAAGGTCTGGAAGCAGAGAGACAAGAGGTTCGAACAGTAAAGAATGGTAACAGAATGCAATTTGTATGAAAATGCAAGAACAATGAAGTCTGAGTGATTTTGAGACAATTGGTGGAAATTTTGCAAATTAAGCATTTATTTTATGATTGTTCGATTTTATTAATGAGTCCTGTAATGTGTACTCACTAGTGTTCTTGTTCACTACACTTCTGGCTCGTCCACTTGAGTCCAGAACATCAATAAAAGCTTTCTACTATGCGAATTGTTTATTTCAAATATGCTTGGTTTATATACCAGACAAACAGACCACATCAGACCATAAAATAGAAAATAACATCTACACAAGATCAAATCATAAACTGGCTGTGAACGTGGGAGACTGTAATTAATCGATTGAGTATAATTTAAGAATAGTAAGTTGTATCATAGTAGTCTATGGGTCAAAATGAAGCCTCTGATAAGATGAATATAAATAAACATGGGAGTCATATAGAGAGTCATCAAGTTCATATTTATGTACGTATTGGAAATAATTTAAGAAGAAAAGTTGGAATATTCCTAAAAAGTGGAAAAAACCATGGTACTTAATTGACTGCCTGTGTACTACTGACATTTGTCACTCATTCAAAACTATTAACAAACAAAAATATTCAGCTTCCTGGCGCTCGACCTAAGCTAGAGTGACTAAAACATTCGTCTTGAATTTATGTGTTCAGAAAAACACAGTTATCAGTATATTAGTAAACTCACAATTGTGAAACACTAATAGTTGTTCATATTAAAGTCAATACAGCTAGAGCTGATGTGATTCAGCTAACAAACTCAACATTGAAATGAAGCTGAATTACATTTGCGTAAATGCCCATTTGAAATGATAATATATACGGATTAAATAGTTCTCACTTTTTATTACATATACCTCCAAACGCCCTGGTATTGCTGATAGTGAGGAGAGTCAGCTCACCCTCTCGAAATGCTCTGAATTAGCCATGTGCATACAACCACTGCCAGAGAAGTTCTACTCACTGCCTTCTCGCGGTATTACTGTTGTTTAGGGAATTGAGAGGACGAAAAGTGAATGTACGGAGCTTTAACCAAGTTGGTGGATATGGAGGATCCAAATAGAGCAGTTGGAAAACCCTGATTCCAATCCAATAGTGTACATAGGATTCAGGATCCTGATGGAACAAATGGCGTATGAACCAATTGTTGATGACCGGCTACCAACGAACATTGCTCCACTCCCTTATGCATCAGACCTTCAGGTCAGAGGTCCGAGTGTGGTCCCCTAAGAAAACCATCTACTTCGGTTTGGGCACCCGGGCAGTATCGCAGCCCCTATCTATATCTGTTTGGTGCCTTCTTGTACTAATGTTTATGTGTTTAAATAAATAAATAAATAAATAAATCTTCAATATATTTCACTACATATATCACAAAATGAACAATGTAATTATGTAACTATTATATAACAGATAATTACAGATAACAGTAATAATAATAATAATAACAATGTGTTTTGTATTTTTAGCTAAGTAGTTGTGAACTTATCTCCATAAGCTCTTACTAAAAAACTATTCAAGATTTATATCAGTCCATCAAGTTAATTTATCCAAAAGACGTTATATCTAGAAGGTTGTTCTTCATATACTGCGTATAACGTGAGTACTAGAACGCCAGAACCCTTCCAAGTAGCAATGAGATGAAAGGAGACTAATGAAAGCAATATTATTCCCAGACAGTGTCAATTATAGTACAAAATTGTCAGGTATTTATAGTTTTTAGTAAGAACAAAATCATCATTGCATTCCACCAGGGGGTTATTAGCATTGTCCAATCAGGAAGCTACACATAAGAACTCTAGAATATTCTTCCAAAATGTGATTCGATAGAATATATTCGAGAACTTCTGAGCCTCCTACAGCTTCCTCGAGTTCACCTGTGTTCCATCGTCACAAAAGATGTATGAACAATGAACATTGTTTGACTTTTAAATAATCAAATGTTTAGTAACCATTTCACAAAGCTCAATGGACAGCGACCTGATCACCTCAACAATACAACACTTTCATCCAGCAACTGTGGAAATGCATCATTCGGTGCCAAGTTAAATATAAACTAATGAAATGTCTTCAGACTACAACAGGTATGGAAACTGACGGTATCCACCTTGTATTTCCAAAACGATGTAATGACGCACCACTTTGTGGTCTCTCACCGCATAGCATAGCACAATCCCACGAAATAATACAACATAGTGCAATCATTTATTTTGACATATCTCACACATTTTATAAAGCATCCAATCGTATTTCGTATTAAAATTTGCATCAGACTGAAATCCAAGTTGGCTTATTCACACAGCTCTCATCATTCAAAGATGGAGACAGTGGAGATGTCGATGGGTGAGAAGAAGTAGCACAGTTGTCAGCATACACATCACACTAGACAGTCATTCAACACTGACGACTTGTGACAGAGATGTGTGAATACACAAAACCTAGTAACAACAAAATGCTATTTCTGTTCTCCAAAGTTAGTTATTAGATCGTCAATCAAGAAAACCAACAACGTAATTCACTCATATTTATTTCATTTCAATTCAACATAAAAAATACACAAATGTGTTTACTGTAACCAGATTAATAAAACAGACGAACAAACAGTCTTCAGAACTCTTCATGATACCTGAAAACAAAATGAGAGAAGGATACACGATGATTCATTACAAGTAAAATGTGTACATGACTATGATTAAGTTCAATTGAATTACATTGACAAACTAGTCGAACTGAGTAGCATTCATCTTGTCAAGTGAAATTACTGTTTGAAAGTTCGAAGTATCACATTTTCACTTGATCGGAAACTGAAAGTGTGTGTTTGTGTATGTGTGTGTGAGTAATAACAGTTGAGTTCGTCCGTGATCCAACCAAATGCGACGATACGCAAATAATTACGATTCGTAAATTCCCGTTGACTATTAGGAAGATGATAAACGGACGACACATCGTGTGCTTAAAATGAAGTGATAGTTAACTGATGACTGTATATTAGTTGGATCAGTTCAACAAAGATTACTTACCGTATTCAGTGAAGTGCCTCTACATTATTTGAAGCCATATGTTTATTTGCCAGTCGACGTGGACCATGAGAATATGTATAGTATTTGGTGTGATCATCCTTGTCATCAACATTATGACCACCACTTTTATTAATATTGATATTAATAATAATGTTATTATCATTATTATCAACACTTTCATTTTCTACCTTATACGCAGTTCTATTAACTTCTTTTTTATCCAAATTGATTGTTTTATTATCATGATGATCTATCTTTTGATGTTCCGGTATAACGACCAAGTCTGGTACCCGTTCGCCATTTTCGCCATCACCATCTCCTTCGTTTTCTTCTGTCGGTGATTGGGTGGATTGCTGTCCGCTTTCATCTTGTCCAAATGAGTCGTTGATGTTATTGTCAACATCAGGTAAAACCGATGAACCTAAATTTAGAGAAAGATAAACGACTGGTCAATTTACAGTGATACACTGAATAGAGATTCACGAGACCCAATAAAACAAGTCAAACTAACAATTGATGTTCCATTCCAAATACTGTAACATTGATACTCATAACTCACTGCCAATATTCAATAAACAGTATTCTCCTATTCTAAGTAGCTGTTCAACACATTGACTAGATCATTCACAATCAAACCATGTTATTCTCACGTCAAATTAATTACTCAGCTTAATTTCACTGAATCACATTCATCAAGCACAAATGTCACTTACCCGAACAAATCACTTTCTTAACAATAAGAGTCTCACATAATATAATGTATATCAAAGAAATATTTGGAACGTACGTGTATATGCGGGAATGAATGTGACGAGCATTGTGAGGCATAAGATGTTGCACATCGTTGATAAACGCATTTTGTCTGTCAAATGAAGTGAACTTGGAATGGAGTGGATAGTTGATCACATAAGAAACACCTCATGTTTATATACTGATAGGGACCTATGAGATCTAATGAAATTTGTGAAATGAATTAATGGATGAACTCATCCGATTGGTGTTCTCTTCGTGTGGGTCACTCAATAATTTGGTACTAAAAGTGCACATAGACTGGTCATAATGGAATGTGGTTATTCATATATTCTATTGTGCATCAATAACTACAATAACAACATCAACAAATTCACGATGTGTGCGTAATCTACATCAAGCTCACTTACTGCATTGATTCACCAAGTTCAGTTCAATGATAAAATTAGTAGTCAATTAGTTAGATTAGATAATCACACTAACATATCTCTTCTTGATAATATGACCAGAGAAATGTCAGCATTATTCTCTCTTTCAACTGAATGCTAAATAACACCGTTTCAATCGTTTGTGGGCCGACATTGATTGGTATGTCCACGGGTTCTACTTCGATGTTGGGTGTGTTCAGTGGGGCTGATCGACTAAACAGCTGCTTGATGTGTTTGTTGATATATAGTCTACTTCGACATTAGTACTGCTCTAATAATAGACCTGATCCTGAAATTGTAGAGTTGCTATGATGTAAGTACCTAATCTAAAAGATATTACGTAGAAGTCACATCATTGTCTACCCTGATTCATTGCAATGTAACAATCACCAATACAAGCTTAGACTAGAGATAGAACAATATATTTAATATGAATAAAAGGCATAACATAACATTTAACAAAGTCCACGATTTCTAGGCCAAGCCATGCCATCCAAACAATTCGAATTCATTGGATCCATTCTTCCCGCTTTCTCTCTCGTTGGGCTTTTCTCAGCGGCACATGTTCAATATCTACCTTCCTAGGTGTCTCGTGTTCAGCGTTGACTATTGTGTAGTTAGGGTTCAATGCCGCTACATGTTCTACCCACCTGTTTTGCTGTTACTCAGTGTTGGTGATTACTTTGCCTCTCTTGTTTTTCACTGGTTGTTCTGGTTTATGATAATTTCCAGCGAGCTTCTCTATTGTATCATACAATTATCTCATGTTTCCTTCACTTACAGACTTTTCCGCCGTCATTGCTAGATCGTCACATACTTATGTCAGTCCGTTCCCGTACTCCTCTTCACTTGCTTTTTTACTTCTGTGTATTCAGCTTGTGCCTTGAATTTCTCTGCTCTTTTTCAGCTAGTGTTGATTGCTGCTTTCTTGATCCTCCTTTCTCGAATCATATCCAGTGTATCGACAGTGATCTATTCCTTGTGATGGTGCTTCTCATGGCCCAGAACCTCACGGCATGTTTAAGTGATCGCTTCTTTGATCCTCTTCCAGTTTCTCTCCACAGTAATTCCCTCTACATTCAGTAGATCATGAGAGGCTTGGAACCGATTGCTCAGGACTGTCTTGGGTTTGTTGAGCGTGTCAGTATCCCGACGAAAAGCCGTATTAAACTTTTGTGATTTTGTCCGGCCCGTTATCCAGTGCTTCCTAAGCTTTAATTTCATCTTGGTGACCAGCAAGTGATGATCTGATGGTATATCGGCTCCTGTCTTGGTTCTCACATCGTCCACCGTCCTCCTGAACTTTGTGTTGATGCAGATATGGTCGATTTGCTTCTCAGTGGTGTGATCCAGTGAAATCCATGTGGTTTTGTGAATGCGTTTATGTGGGAATATGGTGCCGCCTATGACCAGTTTATTGAAGGCACATAGGTTTGCAAATCTCATCACTTTCGTTCCTTTCTACCAGTTCGTGTCGTCCCATGATTTCTTCATATCCGGTGTTCTTCATTCCACTTTGGGCACCTCCCGACGACTGACTGCAGCCTATTGTAGAATTGATCTTTAGCGTCCACATTGTAGTCGTTGGTATTATTATTATTATTATTATTATTATTATTTTTATCAGCTTTATTCAATAATATAGCATTGGACGACGTTCATTGCAATGCCCTCTCTCTTTGTTTTGAAGGAGGATTTGATGATCCTGAGTGCGTGAAATACCCATCATTGTGCCTTTAGAATTTTTGAATACACTGGAAAATGCAGTTATCGTTGCTCTAATAGAGAGTGAGCGTATCTCGTAATATAACTCTGTTTACTGTGTTAGTGAAACAGGATCTTCATTTAACCATAACTAGAGCCCATACATACGAAGGAACCTCTAATTAGTAAAGGTCAGGGTTTTGCGTCGCGATTGTCACGATGGCGACTGGGACTCACATCCAATATCGATGATGTTAAACTCTAGTGATTGGTGGAACATTCTATGATGGTTAACTTAACGACTGGTAAATAAGTGTTATGTCAGGTGTCTCATTTATGATTGAAATATTGCTATTCAGAATTAGCAAACTTAAGAAAAGATAGATAATAATGAAAATGTAGTCCAGATGAAGTGCTTCTCAGACCTGAAAACTTGTTTTGACAGTATCAGAATGATACATAATTATTCTAGTGCGATTTCGTTTGATGATCTGTTATCTGCTATAAATGGAGGTCATCAAGGATATTGCTATCGGATATAAGCAACAATTCATACGATTTGAACTTGTCTGTAAAATGTCATGCTTCATATAAAATGCAGTCAGCGAGAAGAAGTTATTACTATTATCATCACTAATATAATTATAATCATTATTATCATCATAACTGCAATGAATAACTTGTATGCATACATACATGTATGCAGCACTAACAAATTTATTTTGTTAAACCACACTGAAGTGAGTCTCTCAACACATTTGACACAACAATGAAGCTTCAGCAATATTCCACATTGAAGACGACGAGCGAACGGATTTTACATACGTCAAAATGGACAGGTAATAAGTGTTATCTAACAAAATTGATTGTCATCTGGCAGCCGTCAGTGAACGCAAAAATTACATCCAGATTAAGAAATAGCTCGGTTCACGGAAGCTGTCACTGAAAATTTGCTGAATTGTAGAAACGCACACAAAAGGATATGAAACTGACAGTATTATGGATGATAAGCGGCAGACTAGACCACATATAGTCTGCATCGTACGAGAACACAGGTGAGTACAACCAAATTTATTTTAACATAAAATTACACGATTTTTTTGCAAAATGTGAAAACAATACGTTTAATCCTTCATCTATAAATTCTAGATCAATTATCTCGAACTTCATCACTTTTCATTGTCACAGCAATCACTCTCTTTACTTGTTCTCTTCGATCTTGACAAACTTCCGCTGTCAGTTATTGCACTTCCAACTGGTGTTATGTACTATTTATATCGACATAATTAACATACACCACAAGTCAACCGAGGGGAGCAATTCCAAATCAGAAAAAAATCTGTTGTGGTTTCATCAAACAAATGACACATCACTGATGTACCAGTTCCTTTCCGAAACTTTATGTATCATTTTTACTTTAATTTTTGCATCGTGTTATACTATTTCCTTATTTTCGGAAATGTTTTCGTTCATCGATATACTTTATATTCAACATGGCCGGATAGACTCCCAAACTGTTTGTGATCAAGACTCTTACGATACCCTCATTTCAACCAATGCCATTCTTGCCCGACAACTTCGATGTCTCACATACAACATTAGCAATCGTCATGACCGTAGACGATTCCAAACTCTCCAAAGGGGTAATCCACAAAACCATCTGTCACTAGATCACAAGAGACACATAACGCTTATCGTTCATACAGCTCCAATGCATACAAAATTATCGGGCAAGGTGAATAACAGGATTGCTCAGATGGAACCACTCTAGTACACCATCAAGCATTACTGTTCAATAAGCACAGTCGACTGATCTTCGCAAACATCTCGTTTGTCTTTATCACACATAAGCATATGTAGAGAGACGATCGCATATATTAGTGAATTTGAATTCGACTCATCGAGATACTATCTCCTCAACACATAGCCAATATGAATTTGCTATCTTTAACTATTGTTAATCTATCAAGTACAAGTGAGAGAATTGATGGAAACACTGAGATGATCACATCATGTCATTTGGTTGCAACGTGATCAACAAACTACTAATTAGTTGAGTCCATCAAAATCAGAGAGAATTCTACTCATAAGACCACTGATAATAATTATGCTGAAATACCAAAATATAAAGGTGTTATTTAGCATTCAGTTGAAAGAGAGAATGATGCTGACATTTCTCTGGTCATATTATCAAGAAGAGATATGTTAGTGTGATTATCTAATCTAACTAATTGACTACTAATTTTATCATTGAACTGAACTTGGTGAATCAATGCAGTAAGTGAGCTTGATGTAGATTACGCACACATCGTGAATTTGTTGATGTTGTTATTGTAGTTATTGCTGCACAATAGAATATATGAATAACCACATTCCATTATGACCAGTTTATGTGCACTTTTAGTACCAAATTGTTGAGTGAACCACACGAAGAGAACACCAATCGGATGAGTTCATCCATTAATTCATTTCACAAATTTCATTAGATCTCATAGGTCCGTATCAGTATATAAACATGAGGTGTTTCTTATGTGATCAACTATCCACTCCATTCCAAGTTCACTTCATTTGACAGACAAAATGCGTTTATCAACGGTGTGCAACATCTTATGCCTCACAATGCTCGTCACATTCATTCCCGCATATACACGTACGTTCCA